CCAAAGGTGGCTTAGACATATCATAGGTGAGACACCCTCTTCCTGTCCAGGCCATTTTCAGTGTTCAGCGCTGCGGTACTTTGACTGACATTTATTCCGTCATGCAACGCTGTACTGAAATGAGTTTTAAACCATTTTTTTGGGACACATAGAGCTTTCTTTTGATGGTATTTAATCACCACTGGGGTTTTTTTTACTTTTTACTATATAATGAAAAAAGTACAGCAACTTTTGAAAAAAAAACAAACCTGTTTTCCCTACGTTATGTTATAAAACAGCACCCAATTTTTTTGGTAAAATATAAAAGTCGGGGTCACGTCGGGTAAATAGACTCTCACTGCGACATTCGCAGCAACATGTAACGTGTGGCGTAATCTTTGTTTTTCGCACGTAGGCACAAATGAAACGTATTCACGTTTGTATGTGTGTGCATGTGTGGGACTTAAACTTTTTTGAGTTTTTTTATTTTTCTTTAATGAGACTTTCATTTTTTTTATTTTTACCTTTAGGCCTTGTTCACACCAAATGCAGACCAGATCCGGTCAGGTTTCTGCACACGCAGTGTAGTGGGTTGTGCCGCGTTTTGGATGCGTTTTTGATGCGTTTAGGGCCGGTTTTGGTAAAAAAAAAAAAAATAATTTTTAAGTTCAACATGGACTTTCAGGCACTTGCATGCATTTTTGATGCGTTTTTGCGTTTTTGATGCGTTCCAGACCAGATCCAGAGCAGTTAAAATAGGGCTTGCCGCATTTTTTTCATCCGGTCTGGATCTGGTCTGGATCCGCACGCTGCGATGTGAACTGGAGGTCAAAATACCATTGGAATACATTGGACGCAGTTTTGATCCGGTCTGCACCTGCTCTGGTCCGGATCTGCTCCGCGCTTGGTGTGAACAAGCCCTTAACGTGACTGCCATCACATAGGGGTCTTAAAATCCCCCTATGTGATAGCCAAAAAACAATGACAGGTCCTATTTATGGAGGGGTCTCTAAGATCCATTAAATTTTTGTGAGAAAAAAAATCGAAGCTCGATGGAAAATTCCCAAATTAACTAAATTTTAACAGTGAATTTTTAGTTTTTGTTTGGGAAACTCCATTTAATTCCAAAATCGAATGTTAAAACCAAATGATCTTTTAATAGACATTTGTCAAGTCTCTGATGGCATTATCAAATGTGCTGACATGTTTCATATGAACATTTTTACTAAAATCTTTCAGTGTATGGCCGGCTTTAGAGTGTCGGTCATCTTTTGAACTAGGGATGCACCAATACCGTTTTTTCGATATATTTTTCTCAGCACTCGCCAATACCGGCGCGGTGTGCCACGATTATCCTGATTGACTGGGAAGCCGGTGTTATATCGAAAGAACCAATCGGGAAGCCGGGAGGCAGGTCATTACGTGCCGCTCGGCTTCCTGATTGGTTAGGAAGCCAGACTGCCTAGCAACAAGTGAAGCCGTGTTCCTAGCTGATCAGGAAACAGGGATGCGGTTCGTAACCCACCCCCTGTCTTCCTGATTGAAAAGGAAGCCGGCTCCATACTCTGTTTCGGCACCGATGCTAGTATTAGTGCGTCCCTAGTTTGAACCTATGGAATGTTAAAGAAAGTCTTAAAAAAGCACCATCATAATGATCTTAGCCAAAAGATTTAGAATAACTGCAATGAGGGTATTGTTCTCAATGGGTGGGGTGAAATATCATTTTTGTGTGCACTTACCCTGTGACACAGTAGCAGAATTATTGGACTTTCGGAGTATAAATCCCTAAAAGGTAAGCGTATTTATAACAAAGCTGGGGAAATGCTTCAATAGACTTGATAGTTATCTTATCTGACAACTTCAAAGACTGAGGGGGGTTTTCAGAATGAGTTATATATGATTTGACTGATGATTTTATTAACAGTTAACACATTCATGTTGCTTCCTGTTTACGACTCTTGTTTTTAGTTCTCTATTGCAAGTTCTAATGGTTCATTTACCAGAAATTGCAATCATATCTTTATTTTAAAGTATATTTCCACTTTTGCAATCAGAAAAACCCCACTATATGTGTGTTATGTGTTCCCATTCACACATCATATCTCTAATAAAAAATGTTTTTTTATATATTTCTTACCTTCTAGATGTTTTGTTGCAGCAGACAACATGGTTGGTTTTTCTCAGCACCTTCAAAGTGATCTGTCCTTATAGAAAGACTTGGCCATACACTATGCATATTTTGGCTGGTTCATCAAATGCGTGCGGTGGGTGGCGGTTTCGGGCCAGGATCCCTGGACCAGCTGATCAAAGAAGCTGTCTGGAAAATCCCAGAATGAAAAGACAATCATCTGCCGGCTCTGTTCGAGGTTCGAGTGGCCGCTGTCAGGATACAATGCAAACAGCAGGAGATTCCTCGATCAACGATCTTGATTGAGGAATCTGTTCTATTTTCTTTGTTCCGCCCGCAGGTTGAACAAAGAAAATATCACAGTGTAGGGGCAGTATTAGGACTGAAATTTGAGGATTGTGTTTCCCTCATTAACTTCTTTAACATTTGATTGCCAGGGTTGTACACAACAAAAGGAGAAGCAAGTAGAAATGTTTATCCGAAACCCAAGTAAAAGCAATTATAACTGCAAAGCATTTTATAAATATTTTCTTTCACTTATACTATGTGAGTGGGAGTGTGTAACAAATATAAGACAGGTGTTATCCCAATTTGGCTGCAAAAGTGGAAATACAAAAGTCCTGGGAAATTTAAACACTACCCTTTCAGTGGAACTCCTCACACACTGTAGGGATCAATGTTCATTTCTGTCTAGGGGACCATTAAAAAGCAGTTTTACTTGACTCCTTATATTCCTCGCTCCCCCGGCTCCTCTTCCCTCCCAACGCCCTTTCCGAAGAGCAGCAGCTTTGGGGGAGTGGATGCGCGGAGAGGAGGAGCCTCTAGGATAAGGTAAGGCTTTTTTGTTCTCTTGGACATAAATAATTTGCAGTGTGTGGGAATGCCACATGCAGGGGTAGTTTTAAAATTTCCCGGAAGTTTCACTGTTAAAGGTGCCACATTATCATTTTTGGACAACCAAGTTTAAATGCCTTGTACTTGTAAAATCACTTGTACAAACTGGTGTGGCTTGGTTATATGCTAACCATGAAAGATGGTCATGCATTACTTTATAGAAAGCTTTGCCATTACATTTGTTAGATTACTACACAAAAATAGGAAGAAATGCAAGGCTACAGTTTCAGTCCACTTGACATTAAATCATCTGGATCCAAAAGGTTCTTCTCGTCATTTTTATGGATTGCTTAAATCAGCTATGAACAAATAAAAATGAAATGCAGGAGCCAGTCTGTCCAATCCAGGAGCCAGCCGTTTTTTTTTTAAAGGGCCGGTTCACACCACAAAGATTGCGTTCCAGAGCGTTCGCCCTCTGGAACGCAAACCGCCCGGCTCCCTGCGATCAGTGGTGGGAGGGGGCGTGGCAGTGCATTGAAGTAAATGGCACTGCAGCCACGCCGCCCGCAGTGCGATCGCCAGCACCCGAACGCATGGCACATTAGTGATTGCACCCCTGTGCACAGCCCTTATGGAAAGGGTGCTGGCTGATTTTCTGGACTCCACCTGGGGAAAAGGAATAGACTATTCAGGAGTCAGGAGGACTCCATCCAGAAGTCGGGGGAGCCAGGTGGCAGTGTGTGCTGGAGGCACCTGGGAGACAGCCAAGGAAGCTTAGAGGGATGTGTGGAGGAGTCGCACAAGAGGTGTGGAAAGCTGCTAAAGGCTATAGCATACTTCTGAGGAGTTTTGCTGATGAAAAACCATAAATGTCCTGGGACTAGGGCTTGTGGAGTATATGTGACAGCCTTGTGTCGGGGAGACATTGTCATATTGCCTATTGCTAAAAGACAAGCAAACCTTATGTTGTTACTAAAGAAAGTCATTGTTCTGCTGCTGAAGAAATAAGACTGCCCTTTTTTTATCTTAAAAAGGCCGAGATAGTGGTCATTAAGCACTCACCATTTGTGCTAACTTCCCCAAACATCACAGTATGTAAACGCAAAATCTATTTTTACCTTTTTGACATCACGCCTCACTTTTTTTTCCTGAATCTGTTGCAAAGTTTCTCACCTAGAGATCCTGCCAGAAACAGCACTTCTTCCTGTTTCAGGCTGACAATGCGAAGCTGTTGCTCTGCAATTAGCAGTAGCGTTGTAAGCCTGCTGTTTGTTCTCCTTCTGGCCATTGGGCAAACTTGCATAGTTTTGATAGGCAGCCCAATGGCCACTGAAGGAACCTGCATGATGGAGACACTTTCAGAATAAAGGCTGTGCAGCCAAGGTAAAAGACCAAGTGGGCTGCACTCGGGGCAAGGCAGGGTGGGGGCATGTCTTAAAGGACAACTTTACCAAACCAAAGGTGCAGTTATCTTTTAAGGTATGATGAAAGTTCACCTGTCGAAAGGTATAACAAAACACTTTCAATGGTATATTTAACAAACCAGAGATACTTTAGTTGTTAGGGTTTACATACCTTTTAATATTTTTGTTTGTCTGTTTTTGAATGTTTTGTTCAATAAATGTTGAAAATACCTGTGGATCCTGCCAGAGATTCTGTGAGCGGATAACTTTTTGTGCTCTCTGGCTGTTCTGCTGCCTGTTATCAATGTTCATAGTTATTTCTGTGGACTACAGAACACTTCTAACAATATGGAGGGAGTGTGAGTTCTATAGTTTTAAAACATTTCCTTTGAAATGCACCTCTGTACCTCGAGTAAGTGTTGTCACTCCAGCACCAAACGTGTTACTACCAGGATCATCCGGTGAAAAAAGCCACAAAAAAAGAAAAAAATGCAGCCAGCCACAAAATCTGCAATATTTGAAACTTTTTTTTTAGATACGGTTTAGTAATTCATTGCTGTGGTTGATGGAATATTTTCTGCGCTTTGCACTAATTTGTAAAAATGTATTATGGCTAATATTCTTGTAACAACTTTCTTTTCTCTTATGTCCCTTAGCTTCTATGCAACGTTGGCCACAATGAAGAAAAATTAGGTTTTATGTATGAAGACATAATTATTTGGTAAGCTAGTTAGTTTATTTATATGTAAGCGCCATGCTTGATTTATTTTATTGATATCGCTGTTGAAGTGCTGCCATTGTCATCCATTTATTATCGAATGGGATTTGTGCTCATGAATTTTCATAATCATAGCAAATGTTATACTTGATGTGTTTGCTGTGATTGTGGATCCTCCTTTCTCTAACAGATATGTTTTTCATAAGGTGAAATTCTAGGTACTTTTTTTTTTTTTTTTTCCAATACTGATTTGGATGCCTTTGCTCATGAAGAATGGGCTAAGATTCCTCGAACGCTGCAAGAAGCTGGTGTCTAGCTATGCATCTTGTTTGCAGCAAGTCATAACAGCAAAAGGGTGCTCTACTTAGTTCTAAAGATGCATGCCATGAAGGGGTGGAATAATTTTGAGAATGCAGAAGTCATTCAAAGTTGCATTTTCAGCTAAATTTGGGGAAACCACTTGAAACATTTCTTGTGACCTATTTTATTTGCTTTTGCTTGGTTTGTTCATTGCAAACAACATAAAGTTTGTAAATGTTGCCAATAAACCTGTTTTTCAATGGGGGTTGAATAACGTTGATTGCATATACAGTGTGTGTGTATTTATAATGTGTTTTTTTTCAAATTTTGTAAAATATTTGATTTGGAATTATAATTATATTGTTTTATAAACTTTTTACTTTTGTTATATTTTTCATTTTTATTAGTTTTTCTTTTAGGGGCTTTGGGGAAATATTAGGGGTCTAAATAGACCACTGATATTTCCCTTTTTAAAATGGAAAAAGAAATTGAGTCCTCAACCTGTTTTTCTGCAGCCCCTGTTATAAATGTAAAGGAATCCTCTATACTGAGTGTCCCTGCTCATTCATAACTTGTGGAGATAGTATGTTTACTATAGCCACAATCATGAATGAACAGGAGGTGATGTAGATTACTTCCCATTCATTCATAATTGAGGATATAATAAACATACTCTGTCCTCAATTATTTACAAACACTCAGCGATCACTAATCACTGACTGCTTTTACTCGCTCTTCATCCTTGATTGGCTGTCACAGGAGGCTGAGCGAGCAATGCAGGGAGGAGATCTCGATCTGACAGCTGAATCCTCCCCCACACTGCCGGCTGGCCTCCTGTGACAGCTGTCTTCGTCCCCCACAACGCCGCTCTCCTGATCTGTCACAGGAGGCTGAGCGGTGCGGGGAGGAGACGCTGGCCGCTCACAGCTCTCTCCTCCTGCAACGCTCGACCACCTGTGACAGTTTATCTCCTCACCGCTAGGACAGAGAGCAGCTCCCAGCGCGAGGAGAGAAATTACAGATGTACCGCTATATCGGCCAAAAAATTGCACTTTCTGCATTTTGCCAAAAGTGCCACTTTCGGACAATATATTTCGGCTGCCGAAATTTTGGTGCATCCCTAATGCATTATACTATTGTACAATTCCTTTTAAATGTACCAAGCACTTTGTATAAAAAAAGTGCTTACCTGATTTGCATATAAATTAGTTAATTGTTTAGGTAGGCCACTGCACTAATATAAAGGAGATTCTGCAATCACATTGTGACTTGCAGTATGTGACCAGATGTGTAAATCTAAATTATGAATCCTCTGATAGAACTACTGTTTTCATTGTTGACAGATATGTGGAGAATCTCTGAAGTTAACCACATTCATTTTGTTTTCCCAGCTTGCGATTAGCTTTGTTAAATGAAGCGAAAGAAGTGCGAGCAGCGGGCCTCCGCGCCCTCCGCTATCTTATTAGAGATTCCAGTATTTTACAGAAGCTGCTGACTTTAAAATACATAATAACAACATGATGGAGAATAATAGTTTAACAAAAAAGAATGAATCCTTAGTAGTGTACAAGTCTTATGTAATCAAAAAAGTGGTAGATAAATAATATATAATCCGTACAACTTAATTGACTATAATGCATAGAGATCAACTTCATCATTTTAGGTTACTTCAGTCCGAATTTACTAATAAAAAAAAAGTAGCAACCAGAACATTCATGAGAAATGGCATGTACTCAAAATCACATAATCTAAATAAAAACTGTGTTGCGTTAAAAATAAGTGTGTATTTACTGAGTAGACATATTCATTGTAACAGAATGATATACATGATATACAGACTGGTAGACCAATTATCTCTGCAATCATTGACCACCATTTGCAAATATTTGTTGGCCATCTTCTCTAATATTGGAAACACACCACAGATCTTCTATCCACTCCTAAAGGATAACAACAATAATAACAAGAACTATTGAGTGACTCTGGATGTAATATTACTATAGTCAAACTTTACCCACGCAGCATATAAATGGCTTTAGGGTGATATATCTTTATCTTAATTCAAATCATGTAATGCCAATACAACAGGCAGACTTTCTCCTAAAATAGTATAAAATACATTCTTACTATTATTTTACATTTCTAAATACTTTTTGCATTCATACTCTTGGAACTCTATTGGATTGAGATCTGGTTACTGTGGAGGCCATTGGAGTACAGTGAACTAATTTTTATGTTCAAGAAACCAGTTTGAGAGGATGTGAGCTTTGCGACACGGTGCATTATCCTGCTGGTAGTAGACATCAGAAGATGGGTACACTGTGGTCATAAAGGGATGGACATGGTCAGCAACAATACTCAGGAAGGTCGGGGCGTTTAAACGATGCTCAGTTGGTACTAAGGGACCAAAGTGTGCCAAGCAATATACCCCACACTCTTAAGGATTCATTTTTATGGGCCATATAGTTTTGATATTCTCTATCATGATATGTTCAAATGAATATACAAAGAAGTTGTAGAAATGTGTAATATTTTTCTAATTTTTATAGAATAATTTACATAGGATTTTTATCAATTGGATTGTAGAGATTAGAGGAAAGTATTTAACCCCTTCGTGACTGACGACGTACAGTGTACATCGCCAGCATCGGGGCTGTTTAATCAGACTCCCGGCGACTTTTGCCGCCGGGACTCTGTTTAAACTTGTAGAGCCGACTGTCGGCTTTACAACAGAAGCGAATATAAGGAGTTGCGCTAATATTGCGCAACATAAAAATTTGCAACTACCACCATTTTATTCTATAGGGTCTTGGCATTCAGAAAATATATAATGTTGGGGGGTTTTAAGTCATTTTCAGGCCTAAAATGTGGAATATAACATGGGTGCAAAAAATGAAAAAAGGGCCTCAGTCATGAAGGGGTTAATATTGATTTTAATTATTATTGACCTGTTGGTCGATTGTTTTCAATTTTTTTTAATTATTAGCATTTTAGTATCTTTTAATTATTCAGATATATTCACCTGTGAATATTGTATAATGTTGTAGACTGGATACCAATTTGACTATATTGCTATATATGTTTGTAGCCCTGCAGCAGAGGGATTCTTGCTACCCCCGAAACGAGTTCACTTCTCATGGTGAATTTAGAGAAAACCTTTAATTTAGACTTCATTAGTTGAGTGGCACTTCTGTTCTCTGCCTGGTTTGCAGTCTTTGAATGCTGTCTGTGTCACCTGAAAATTTCCCCTCAATTCCTGACACCCGTTACTTGGACTCTGGCAGCAGTAAGAACAGTTAGGAGCACTGTTGTGGGTATTCTCTCACTTCCTGCTATATGTGACAGCTGTAAAATTAACAGGCAGTGAGGGGGGAAATCTCCCCAACAGAGAGGACCATGGACAATTAGAGGGAGGTTGTATGACAGCGAATCATGTGAAGAGTCAGAAGTCGCTCTCTTAGGCCCTCTGAGAAGACTCTTCTGATGCAGAATAAGGAATGATGGAGATGAATAACCATGACCATGTTACTTGGAAATGAACAGTTCACCTATGAAAATGAAGCTTTGCTGAAGTTTCTCGTTAATTAAAAAGGAATTTAAATGCCATTGTTACCTCTTTGTCAATTAGTAAAAATGGTTAATACCAGTGGAGGTATTAAAAAATAAAATAAAATTTAATTACAATTTAACCCCTTCATGACTGAGCTTGTTTTTAGTTTCTGTTCGTAAATGACTGACACACTTTTGACATTTTTGCTGTGTGATTCTTCCACGTCAGTAATATACTTTCTTACAAAGTGCACCCACACATATTATATATTGTTTTTTAGAGGACAGATAGGGCTACATATTTATATCACATATGTGCGTCTAACGCCTCACTTAGGACAAATAAAATATAAAAAAAAGAGGAAAAAACCGTTTAAAAAAAACACTTTTTTCCCAGTTTTGATTTGTAGTATTTTTTTTACAAAACCAGCACAGCTAAAAAAATGCAATAAATACATTCATTTATTTGTCCCTTATTTTATTTTATTTTTTACACATTTTTTTATTTTTTTTACACTTTTCACAATTTTTTTTTTTTTTTTACACTTTTCACTTTTTTTTTTAACTTAAAAATGTTATTTTATTTATTTAATTATATCAAGCAGATTTTGTGAATTAATCTCACTGTTACTGCATGATAAATTAATA